TCATGTCTTATTTGAAGAACTGTACATCTTTCTCTGTACATAGAACGGCTTGTGACGGAGCGGGTCCGTCTGTAGTTATGTGCACGAACTGAGTTTTAAAGTAAAGGCTGATTTTAGTGCCTCATGCGCCACACACACATCTGCACACACACACACACACACGCACCTGCACGCACACACACACACCTGCACACACACACCTGCACGCACACACACACACCTGCACGCACACACACACACATCTGCACACACACACACGCACACGCACGCACACACACACACACGCCATTCCACACGCGCGCACCCCTTTTCCCTCCGTTCCATTAATGCTTAACATCCACACGCATCATCCATACTCTGGTCCCTCTCTTCCCTCAGTTACTAGTTCGCCCAGGGGTGCCCAGGGGTGCCCAGGGGTGCCCAGGGGTGCCCACTTGTGCGGGCTAGAAATACATCATAGCATACATTCATACACGTAACGGTCTGTCGCGCTCCTCTGCCTCTGTGCGCGAGGATCAAACCAGGACCAGACTTCCTGGTGGGTTAAATGTGCCCTGGAGCGTGGGGAATTGTCCTCATGTGATGCGCATAATAAACATGTTTTGACTGTTTGATGAACTAATGTTTTATGATAAAGTATAATTGTCTGTGTTGGACCATTAGGGAAGGGGCCTCTATAGTTGTGTTCTGTTTATACGTCCCGTTTGTGATCATTTATTTTGCTCAATGGAAGGGGCAAAGGGAACTATAAAGGAGAGCCGTGTCTGGCACCCGTCAGTCTGCCGCTGGTTACAGAGGAGGTAACTACCTGGCGCCCGTCAGTCTGCCGCTGGTTACAGAGGAGGTAACTACCTGGCACCCGTCAGTCTGCCGCTGGTTTACAGAGGAGGTAACTACCTGGCACCCGTCAGTCTGCCGCTGGTTACAGAGGAGGTAACTACCTGGCACCCGTCAGTCTGCCGCTGGTTACAGAGGAGGTAACTACCTGGCACCCGTCAGTCTGCCGCTGGTTACAGAGGAGGTAACTACCTGGCGCCCGTCAGTCTGCCGTTGGTTACAGAGGAGGTAACTACCTGGCACCCGTCAGTCTGCCGCTGGTTACAGAGGAGGTAACTACCTGGCGCCCGTCAGTCTGCCGCTGGTTACAGAGGAGGTAACTACCTGGCACCCGTCAGTCTGCCGCTGGTTACAGAGGAGGTAACTACCTGGCACCCGTCAGTCTGCCGCTGGTTACAGAGGAGGTAACTACCTGGCACCCGTCAGTCTGCCGCTGGTTACAGAGGAGGTAACTACCTGGCACCCGTCAGTCTGCCGCTGGTTACAGAGGAGGTAACTACCTGGCACCCGTCAGTCTGCCGCTGGTTACAGAGGAGGTAACTACCTGGCACCCGTCAGTCTGCCGCTGGTTACAGAGGAGGTAACTACCTGGCACCCGTCAGTCTGCCGCTGGTTACAGAGGAGGTAACTACCTGGCACCCGTCAGTCTGCCGCTGGTTACAGAGGAGGTAACTACCTGGCACCCGTCAGTCTGCCGCTGGTTACAGAGGAGGTAACTACCTGGCACCCGTCAGTCTGCCGCTGGTTACAGAGGAGGTAACTACCTGGCACCCGTCAGTCTGCCGCTGGTTACAGAGGAGGTAACTACCTGGCACCCGTCAGTCTGCCGCTGGTTACAGAGGAGGTAACTACCTGGCACCCGTCAGTCTGCCGCTGGTTACAGAGGAGGTAACTACCTGGCACCCGTCAGTCTGCCGCTGGTTACAGAGGAGGTAACTACCTGGCACCCGTCAGTCTGCCGCTGGTTACAGAGGAGGTAACTACCTGGCACCCGTCAGTCTGCCGCTGGTTACAGAGGAGGTAACTACCTGGCACCCGTCAGTCTGCCGCTGGTTACAGAGGAGGTAACTACCTGGCACCCGTCAGTCTGCCGCTGGTTACAGAGGAGGTAACTACCTGGCACCCGTCAGTCTGCCGCTGGTTACAGAGGAGGTAACTACCTGGCACCCGTCAGTCTGCCGCTGGTTACAGAGGAGGTAACTACCTGGCGCCCGTCAGTCTGCCGCTGGTTACAGAGGAGGTAACTACCTGGCACCCGTCAGTCTGCCGCTGGTTACAGAGGAGGTAACTACCTGGCACCCGTCAGTCTGCCGCTGGTTACAGAGGAGGTAACTACCTGGCACCCGTCAGTCTGCCGCTGGTTACAGAGGAGGTAACTACCTGGCACCCGTCAGTCTGCCGCTGGTTACAGAGGAGGTAACTACCTGGCACCCGTCAGTCTGCCGCTGGTTACAGAGGAGGTAACTACCTGGCACCCGTCAGTCTGCCGCTGGTTACAGAGGAGGTAACTACCTGGCACCCGTCAGTCTGCCGCTGGTTACAGAGGAGGTAACTACCTGGCACCCGTCAGTCTGCCGCTGGTTACAGAGGAGGTAACTACCTGGCACCCGTCAGTCTGCCGCTGGTTACAGAGGAGGTAACTACCTGGCACCCGTCAGTCTGCCGCTGGTTACAGAGGAGGTAACTACCTGGCACCCGTCAGTCTGCCGCTGGTTACAGAGGAGGTAACTACCTGGCACCCGTCAGTCTGCCGCTGGTTACAGAGGAGGTAACTACCTGGCACCCGTCAGTCTGCCGCTGGTTACAGAGGAGGTAACTACCTGGCACCCGTCAGTCTGCCGCTGGTTACAGAGGAGGTAACTACCTGGCACCCGTCAGTCTGCCGCTGGTTACAGAGGAGGTAACTACCTGGCACCCGTCAGTCTGCCGCTGGTTTACAGAGGAGGTAACTACCTGGCACCCGTCAGTCTGCCGCTGGTTACAGAGGAGGTAACTACCTGGCACCCGTCAGTCTGCCGCTGGTTACAGAGGAGGTAACTACCTGGCACCCGTCAGTCTGCCGCTGGTTACAGAGGAGGTAACTACCTGGCACCCGTCAGTCTGCCGCTGGTTACAGAGGAGGTAACTACCTGGCGCCCGTCAGTCTGCCGCTGGTTACAGAGGAGGTAACTACCTGGCACCCGTCAGTCTGCCGCTGGTTACAGAGGAGGTAACTACCTGGCACCCGTCAGTCTGCCGCTGGTTACAGAGGAGGTAACTACCTGGCACCCGTCAGTCTGCCGCTGGTTACAGAGGAGGTAACTACCTGGCACCCGTCAGTCTGCCGCTGGTTACAGAGGAGGTAACTACCTGGCACCCGTCAGTCTGCCGCTGGTTACAGAGGAGGTAACTACCTGGCACCCGTCAGTCTGCCGCTGGTTACAGAGGAGGTAACTACCTGGCACCCGTCAGTCTGCCGCTGGTTACAGAGGAGGTAACTACCTGGCACCCGTCAGTCTGCCGCTGGTTACAGAGGAGGTAACTACCTGGCACCCGTCAGTCTGCCGCTGGTTACAGAGGAGGTAACTACCTGGCACCCGTCAGTCTGCCGCTGGTTACAGAGGAGGTAACTACCTGGCACCCGTCAGTCTGCCGCTGGTTTACAGAGGAGGTAACTACCTGGCACCCGTCAGTCTGCCGCTGGTTACAGAGGAGGTAACTACCTGGCACCCGTCAGTCTGCCGCTGGTTACAGAGGAGGTAACTACCTGGCACCCGTCAGTCTGCCGCTGGTTACAGAGGAGGTAACTACCTGGCGCCCGTCAGTCTGCCGTTGGTTACAGAGGAGGTAACTACCTGGCACCCGTCAGTCTGCCGCTGGTTACAGAGGAGGTAACTACCTGGCACCCGTCAGTCTGCCGCTGGTTACAGAGGAGGTAACTACCTGGCACCCGTCAGTCTGCCGCTGGTTACAGAGGAGGTAACTACCTGGACTCATTAAAGGTGACCTATGTGTCTGTTGTTTTTTCCTGCTAAATTCCTGCACCAATTTTTATGCACTTGGGGGAAAATAAAAACACAAATAATCACGACAATCCGAGCTTGCCTGTATTTTTTTGAAGAAACCCACGACACGGCTCCTCTGACCTGTGGAGTTCCACAAGGCTCGGGTCTAGGTCCTGTTTTGTTTTCACTGTATATTTGACCTCTTTGAAGCATTTTTATGAAGTACAAAATCCCCTTCCACTGCTTTGCAGATGATCTGCAGATATACTTGCCCTTTAAATCAGGCAGCACTCTTGCCCCGCTGCAGTGTCTCCAGGATGTTCAAACATGGTTAGCTCTTAACTTTCTTAAACTTAACAAAAGTAAAACCAAAGTTGTTGTGTTTGGCAATTCCAATTCCTCTGGTTCCACCAATTACAGTATGTCCTTGGCCCATTAGCTCCACACACTCAGACTGTGGTTAGAATCTTGGTTTTCTAATGAAGAACTGCTTTAAGCTGGACAAAAAAATCACTTCTGTTGTGAAAACCAGATATTTTCAACTGTGGGTCCTCAGTAAAGTGAAATCTTATCTTCCTTTTGAAGAGTTTGCACATGTTCCCGTCTCGACTATTGCAATTCTTTGTACTGTGGTCTAGACCAGTCGCACTGTGGTCTAGACCAGTCGCACTGTGGTCTAGACCAGTCGCACTGTGGTCTAGACCAGTCGCACTGTGGTCTAGACCAGTCGCACTGTGGTCTAGACCAGTCGCACTGTGGTCTAGACCAGTCGCACTGTGGTCTAGACCAGTCGCACTGTGGTCTAGACCAGTCGCACTGTGGTCTAGACCAGTCGCACTGTGGTCTAGACCAGTACTGCCTGTGAGTCAAATAATGACAAAAACAAAAATCAAAACAATGTTCTGTTCTGATTTGTTCACAACATTTTACTTTGGGCACAACCAACATCATTCTGCATTATTAATGCAAGGGAAAATGTAGGTACCAGATTCTACACCTGGTACCTACACAGGGAGACTCCCTGTGTAGGTACCAGATGTAGAGACACAGGGAGGACAGGGAGACTCCCTGAGGGCTCCACAGTCCAGCTCTGTTTCTGCAGTAACACAATATATTTATTAATTTTGCGTTACGCAAAGACACACACACAAACAAGCAGAGAATGGTCCTGGGTACAATATGACCACGTTCGCCTACGTGCTCGCCTACGTGCTCTCCTACGTGCTCGCCTACGTGCTCTCCTACGTGCTCTCCTACGTGCTCGCTTACGTGCTCTCATACGTGCTCGCCTACGTGCTCGCCTACGTGCTCTCCTACGTGCTCTCCTACGTGCTCTCCTACGTGCTCGCCTACGTGCTCTCCTACGTGCTCGCCTACGTGCTCGCCTACGTGCTCTCCTACGTGCTCTCCTACGTGCTCTCCTACGTGCTCTCCTACGTGCTCGCCTACGTGCTCGCCTACGTGCTCTCCTACGTGCTCTCCTACGTGCTCGCCTACGTGCTCTCCTACGTGCTCGCCTACGTGCTCGCCTACGTGCTCTCCTACGTGCTCTCCTACGTGCTCTCCTACGTGCTCGCCTACGTGCTCTCCTACGTGCTCTCCTACGTGCTCTCCTACGTGCTCGCCTACGTGCTCTCCTACGTGCTCTCCTACGTGCTCTCCTACGTGCTCTCCTACGTGCTCGCCTACGTGCTCTCCTACGTGCTCTCCTACGTGCTCGCCTACGTGCTCGCCTACGTGCTCTCCTACGTGCTCGCTTACGTGCTCTCATACGTGCTCGCCTACGTGCTCTCCTACGTGCTCGCTTACGTGCTCTCCTACGTGCTCTCCTACGTGCTCGCTTACGTGCTCTCCTACGTGCTCTCCTACGTGCTCGCCTACGTGCTCTCCTACGTGCTCTCCTACGTGCTCTCCTACGTGCTCGCCTACGTGCTCTCCTACGTGCTCTCCTACGTGCTCTCCTACGTGCTCTCCTACGTGCTCTCCTACGTGCTCGCCTACGTGCTCTCCTACGTGCTCTCCTACGTGCTCGCCTACGTGCTCTCCTACGTGCTCTCATACATGCTCGCCTACGTGCTCTCCTACGTGCTCGCCTACGTGCTCTCCTACGTGCTCGCCTACGTGCTCTCCTACGTGCTCTCCTACGTGCTCTCCTACGTGCTCGCCTACGTGCTCTCCTACGTGCTCGCCTACGTGCTCGCCTACGTGCTCTCCTACGTGCTCTCCTACGTGCTCGCCTACGTGCTCTCCTACGTGCTCTCTACATGCTCGCCTACGTGCTCTCCTACGTGCTCGCCTACGTGCTCTCCTACGTGCTCGCCTACGTGCTCTCCTACGTGCTCTCCTACGTGCTCTCCTACGTGCTCGCCTACGTGCTCTCCTACGTGCTCGCCTACGTGCTCTCCTACGTGCTCGCCTACGTGCTCTCCTACGTGCTCTCCTACGTGCTCTCCTACGTGCTCTCCTACGTGCTCTCCTACGTGCTCGCCTACGTGCTCTCCTACGTGCTCTCCTACGTGCTCGCTTACGTGCTCTCCTACGTGCTCGACTACGTGCTCGCTTACGTGCTCTCCTACGTGCTCGCCTACGTGCTCTCCTACGTGCTCTCCTACGTGCTCGCTTACGTGCTCTCCTACGTGCTCGACTACGTGCTCGCTTACGTGCTCTCCTACGTGCTCGCCTACGTGCTCGCTTACGTGCTCTCCTACGTGCTCTCCTACGTGCTCGCTTACGTGCTCTCCTACGTGCTCTCCTACGTGCTCGCTTACGTGCTCTCCTACGTGTGCTCTCCTACGTGCTCGCCTACGTGCTCTCCTACGTGCTCTCCTACGTGCTCTCCTACGTGCTCGCCTACGTGCTCTCCTACGTGCTCTCCTACGTGCTCGCTAGTACTGCTCTCCTACGTGCTCGACTACGTGCTCGCTACGTGCTCTCCTACGTGCTCGCCTACGTGCTCGCTACGTGCTCTCCTACGTGCTCTCCTACGTGCTCGCCTACGTGCTCTCCTACGTGCTCGCCTACGTGCTCTCCTACGTGCTCTCCTACGTGCTCTCCTACGTGCTCGCTACGTGCTCTCCTACGTGCTCTCCTACGTGCTCGCCTACGTGCTCTCCTACGTGCTCTCCTACGTGCTCTCCTACGTGCTCTCCTACGTGCTCTCCTACGTGCTCGCCTACGTGCTCTCCTACGTGCTCTCCTACGTGCTCTCCTACGTGCTCTCCTACGTGCTCTCATACGTGCTCGCCTACGTGCTCTCCTACGTGCTCGCCTACGTGCTCTCCTACGTGCTCTCCTACGTGCTCGCCTACGTGCTCTCCTACGTGCTCTCCTACGTGCTCGCCTACGTGCTCTCCTACGTGCTCGCCTACGTGCTCTCCTACGACGTGCTCGCCTACGTGCTCTCCTACGTGCTCTCCTACGTGCTCTCCTACGTGCTCGCCTACGTGCTCCTACGTGCTCTCCTACGTGCTCGCCTACGTGCTCTCCTACGTGCTCGCCTACGTGCTCTCCTACGTGCTCTCCTACGTGCTCTCCTACGTGCTCTCCTACGTGCTCTCCTACGTGCTCGCCTACGTGCTCTCCTACGTGCTCTCCTACGTGCTCGCTTACGTGCTCTCCTACGTGCTCGCCTACGTGCTCGCTACGTGCTCTCCTACGTGCTCGCCTACGTGCTCGCTTACGTGCTCTCCTACGTGCTCTCCTACGTGCTCGCCTACGTGCTCTCCTACGTGCTCGCCTACGTGCTCGCTACGTGCTCTCTCCTACGTGCTCTCCTACGTGCTCTCCTACGTGCTCGCCTACGTGCTCTCCTACGTGCTCGCCTACGTGCTCTCCTACGTGCTCGCCTACGTGCTCTCCTACGTGCTCTCCTACGTGCTCTCCTACGTGCTCTCCTACGTGCTCTCCTACGTGCTCTCCTACGTGCTCTCCTACGTGCTCTCCTACGTGCTCTCCTACGTGCTCTCCTACGTGCTCTCCTACGTGCTCTCCTACGTGCTCCACGTGCTCTCCTACGTGCTCGCCTACGTGCTCTCCTACGTGCTCTCCTTACGTGCTCTCCTACGTGCTCTCCTACGTGCTCTCCTACGTGCTCTCCTACGTGCTCGCCTACGTGCTCTCCTACGTGCTCTCCTACGTGCTCTCCTACGTGCTCCCTCTGCTCTCCTACGTGCTCTCCTACGTGCTCTCCTACGTGCTCTCCTACGTGCTCTCCTACGTGCTCGCCTACGTGCTCTCCTACGTGCTCTCCTACGTGCTGCTCCTACGTGCTCTCCTACGTGCTCTCCTACGTGCTCTCCTACGTGCTCTCCTACGTGCTCCTACCTACGTGCTCTCCTACGTGCTCTCCTACGTGCTTCCTACGTGCTCTCCTACGTGCTCTCCTACGTGCTCGCCTACGTGCTCTCCTACGTGCTCGCCTACGTGCTCGCCTACGTGCTCTCCTACGTGCTCTCCTACGTGCTCTCTACGTGCTCTCCTACGTGCTCTCCTACGTGCTCTCCTACGTGCTCTCCTACGTGCTCTCCTACGTGCTCTCCTACGTGCTCTCCTACGTGCTCTCCTACGTGCTCTCCTACGTGCTCTCCTACGTGCTCTCCTACGTGCTCTCCTACGTGCTCTCCTACGTGCTCTCCTACGTGCTCTCCTACGTGCTCTCCTACGTGCTCTCCTACGTGCTCTCCTACGTGCTCTCCTACGTGCTCTCCTACGTGCTCTCCTACGTGCTCTCCTACGTGCTCTCCTACGTGCTCTCCTACGTGCTCTCCTACGTGCTCTCCTACGTGCTCTCCTACGTGCTCTCCTACGTGCTCTCCTACGTGCTCTCCTACGTGCTCTCCTACGTGCTCCCTACGTGCTCTGCTACGGCCTACGTGCTGCTACGTCTCTCCTACGTGCTCTCCTCTACGTGCTCTCCTACGTGCTCTCCTACGTGCTCGCTTACGTGCTCTCCTACGTGCTCGCCTACGTGCTCGCCTACGTGCTCTCCTACGTGCTCGCCTACGTGCTCTCCTACGTGCTCGCCTACGTGCTCTCCTACGTGCTCACAGAGGATTTGGAATCCCGAGAGAAGTACGTACAGAAAAAAGCAGCAAGCGCCCCACGATCACACACACCCATCTCTGTTGATGGTACATTGACTGTTGATGGTACCCATAATAACACACACACACACCAGCCACAGAGACCATGAAGACACACACACACCAGCCACAGAGACCATGAAGACACACAAACACCAGCCACAGAGACCATGAAGACACACACACACCAGCCACAGAGACCATGAAGACACACACACACCAGCCACAGAGACCATGAAGACACACACACACACCAGCCACAGAGACCATGAAGACACACAAACACCAGCCACAGAGACCATGAAGACACACACACACACCAGCCACAGAGACCATGAAGACACACACACACACCAGCCACAGAGACCATGAAGACACACACACACCAGCCACAGAGACCATGAAGACACACACACACACCAGCCACAGAGACCATGAAGACACACAAACACCAGCCACAGAGACCATGAGGACACACACACACCAGCCACAGAGACCATGAAGACACACACACACACCAGCCACAGAGACCATGAAGACACACACACACACCAGCCACAGAGACCATGAAGACACACACACACACACAGAGACCATGAAGACACACACACACACAGCCACAGAGACCATGAAGACACACAAACACCAGCCACAGAGACCATGAGGACACACACACACCAGCCACAGAGACCATGAAGACACACACACACACCAGCCACAGAGACCATGAAGACACACAAACACCAGCCACAGAGACCATGAGGACACACACACACCAGCCACAGAGACCATGAAGACACACACACACACCAGCCACAGAGACCATGAAGACACACAAACACCAGCCACAGAGACCATGAGGACACACACACACCAGCCACAGAGACCATGAAGACACACAAACACCAGCCACAGAGACCATGAGGACACACACACACCAGCCACAGAGACCATGAAGACACACATACACCAGCCACAGAGACCATGAAGACACACACACACACCAGCCACAGAGACCATGAAGACACACATACACCAGCCACAGAGACCATGAAGACACACACACACCAGCCACAGAGACCATGAAGACACACACACACACCAGCCACAGAGACCATGAAGACACACATACACCAGCCACAGCGACCTTGAAGACACATATGGTGTCTAGACTAACCCTGAGTCCTGTTGCAGGTGAAGGAGCTGAGGAGGTTCAAAGGCGACCATGGCTCTGTTCCTGATGCAGATCTGTTCATGTTGAAGCTGGTGGAGGTCCCCAGGTAAGGACCATGTGGGATGGAGGAGATCCCCAGGTAAGGACCATGTGGGATGGTGGAGGTCCCCAGGTAAGGACCATGTGGGATGGTGGAGGTCCCCAGGTAAGGACCATGTGGGATGGAGGAGGTCCCCAGGTAAGGACCATGTGGGATGGTGGAGGTCCCCAGGTAAGGACCATGTGGGATGGAGGAGGTCCCCAGGTAAGGACCATGTGGGATGGAGGAGGTCCCCAGGTAAGGACCATGTGGGATGGAGGAGGTCCCCAGGTAAGGACCATGTGGGATGGTGGAGGTCCCCAAGTAAGGACCATGTGGGATGGAGGAGGTCCCCAGGTAAGGACCATATGGGATGGTGGAGGTCCCCAGGTAAGGACCATGTGGGATGGTGGAGGTCCCCAAGTAAGGACCATGTGGGATGGAGGAGGTCCCCAGGTAAGGACCATGTGGGATGGTGGAGGTCCCCAGGTAAGGACCATGTGGGATGGTGGAGGTCCCCAGGTAAGGACCATGTGGGATGGAGGAGGTCCCCAGGTAAGTACCATGTGGGATGGAGGAGGTCCCCAGGTAAGAACCATGTGGGATGGACCATGTAGTATTGCGCATTTTAGGGATATTTATAGTCAACTAAAGCAAAAGGGGATTTAAAAAACCACTTTCATTTACAAGAATAATCAATTACAGGTTTGTATTTAATTTCATTCACAGTTTTTAAGTAATTTCTTTTTAAACTGAGGACACACCCCCTGCTCCCCATTGGTCCAGACACAAACTCCCATCCAGTGGAAGAAGTGCAATCACATGATCACATTTGATTTTGAAAACAATAATTTTGTTTTGATGCTGTCCATGACATAGTCCGAGGATTCGTCAGAAGCAAATTTCAGACGGACATGTGTGACCGAGCCCTGTTCTAACCACACAGACGGTATACGGAGGACAATGCTAACTGGCTAGCTCAATGAAGCCCAACAGGAAAGTGCTCATGGTGAAGTTTGGCTCCTCTCTCTGGCACCTAAAGACTTCCGCCCCTCCGAACTTGTTCAAACTTTTGACTGTTCGTGACTCGGGCAGATCACTTCAACTCCTCCTAGAAGTACCTAGGACTAGGTCCAAACCCTGGGGTAACCGGTCCTTCTCAGTCCTGGACCCAGACTCTGGAATGAGCTGCGCCCTGACCAGTGGAGGCGGGTCCCGGCTCAAAAGTGGCCAAAATGAAGTGCACTGACATGCTGCAGTACCACCCCGGGCCTGTGGGGGTGGACCCAGAAGAAGAATTAGCCAATGCTAACATATAGCATTAGCTATATGTTAGCATTGGTTAATTCTCTGGAAAACATCTTTACAGGATGTCAGCATTGACACATGTGTGTCAATGCTGAGTGTTGAGTGCTGAGTGGACCACTCTAGTTTAGTCGCTGTGGACTTTAGAAGTGACTTGTTTAAATGAATGGGGCTCTCGCAGCTGACGCTCAGATGTGTTTTTTCACAATTTTCTTGTGGGCGGGACCACTCGCGGCCATTTTGGATAGCTCCAGTAGAGCACTATTTTTGGCCCATTAGTTAGAACGGCGGAGATAGGCGTGACTCTGTCCGTTCATATTTACAGTCTATGCCCCTGACATGCGCGTCCTTACTGATTTTCGCCTTTTTATATCCAGGCGCAAAATGTATTTTTTCATACTTTTAACACTTTTATCACTCAATAGTAGGTGACACTTTTTTAATGCTTAATGTTTTATTTTTTTAATGCATAAATGTTTTCATGGATTTTATGTAATTTTACTGTGAAGTACTTTGGTCGCCGTGAGTGTTGTAAAGAGCTCTATAAATTGATTGATTCCATGTAAAAGTAAACTCCTCTAGATCAGTAACGTTTTGGTTTAAATCCATGGTTTCTCTGTGTTCTGTGTTTATATGTGTATATGTGTCTATGTAAATCAGATATGACCATATAAGGACTGACCAATCAGGGGCCTTCTTCCCTCGTTCCTTCTCTTCTCTGCTCATTTCAGACATAATGAAATCCTGTTCTTTCCCAGTTACGAGGATCGCCTGAACAGCCTGGTGCTGAAGGAGGAGTTCTTCCCGATCATGGATGAACTCAAAGCTTTTTTCGGCACTTTGGTGACGGCGGGAAAAGGTATCGTCGCTTCATTTAACTGCAGAACTAACACGTTTAACAATATTATAACTATATTTATAACTATGGTTTCTCCTGTTCTCAGAGCTGCTGGAGTCCGAGCAGCTCCACTCCGTGATCCGCCTAGTGCTGAAGACGGGGAACTACATGAACGCGGTACCACCTCAGTCCAAGCTTTTCTAACCACTGCTGGTCTGAGCTGCTGCAGCAGTCAAAAGACATGCATACACTGTGAAAAACAGCTGCAGAGGACACTGAGGAGAAAGAGACCAGAGAGAGAGACCAGAGAGAGAAACCAGAGAGAGAGACCAGAGAGAGAGAGACCAGAGAGAGAGACCAGAGAGAGAGACCAGAGAGAGACCAGAGAGAGAGAGACCAGAGAGAGAGACCAGAGAGAGAGACCAGAGAGAGAGAGACCAGAGAGAGAGTCCAGAGAGAGAAACCAGAGAGAGAGACCAGAGAGAGAGACCAGAGAGAGAGACCAGAGAGACAGAGAGACCAGAGAGAGAGACCAGAGAGAGACCAGAGAGAGAGACCAGAGAGAGAGAGAGAGAGAGGCCAGAGAGAGAGAGACCAGAGAGAGAGTCCAGAGAGAGAGACCAGAGAGAGAGACCAGAGAGAGACCAGAGAGAGAGAGACCAGAGAGAGAGAGACCAGAGAGAGAGAGACCAGAGAGAGAGACCAGAGAGAGAGACCAGAGAGAGAGACCAGAGAGAGAGAGACCAGAGAGAGAGACCAGAGAGAGAGACCAGAGAGAGACCAGAGAGAGAGAGACCAGAGAGAGAGACCAGAGAGAGAGACCAGAGAGAGAGAGACCAGAGAGAGAGTCCAGAGAGAGAAACCAGAGAGAGAGACCAGAGAGAGAGACCAGAGAGAGAGACCAGAGAGAGAGACCAGAGAGAGAGACCAGAGAGAGACCAGAGAGAGAGACCAGAGAGAGAGACCAGAGAGAGAGGCCAGAGAGAGAGAGACCAGAGAGAGTCCAGAGAGAGAGACCAGAGAGAGAGACCAGAGAGAGAGACCAGAGAGAGAGACCAGAGAGAGAGACCAGAGAGAGAGAGACCAGAGAGAGAGAGACCAGAGAGAGAGACCAGAGAGAGAGACCAGAGAGAGAAACCAGAGAGAGAGACCAGAGAGAGAGACCAGAGAGAGAGGCCAGAGAGAGAAACCAGAGAGAGAACCAGAGAGAGAGAGACCAGAGAGAGAGAGACCAGAGAGAGAGAGACCAGAGAGAGAGACCAGAGAGAGAGAGAGAGGCCAGAGAGAGAGAGACCAAGAGAGAGAGACCAGAGAGAGACCAAGAGAGAGAGACCAGAGAGAGAGAGACCAGAGAGAGAGAGAGAGAGACCAGAGAGAGACCAGAAAGAGAGAGACCAGAGAGAGAGAGACCAGAGAGAGAGAGACCAGAGAGAGAGAGACCAGAGAGAGACCAGAGAGAGAGGCCAGAGAGAGAGAGACCAGAGAGAGAGAGACCAGAGAGAGAGAGACCAGAGAGAGAGACCAGAGAGAGACCAGAGAGAGAGACCAGAGAGAGAGACCAGAGAGAGACCAGAGAGAGGGACCAGAGAGAGAGACCAGAGAGAGAAACCAGAGAGAGAAACCAGAGAGAGAGACCAGAGAGAGAGACCAGAGAGAGGGACCAGAGAGAGAGACCAGAGAGAGAGACCAGAGAGAGAGACCAGAGAGAGAAACCAGAGAGAGAAACCAGAGAGCGAGCCCAGAGAGCGAGCCCAGAGAGAGAGACCAGAGAGAGGGACCAGAGAGAGAGACCAGAGAGAGAGACCAGAGAGAGAGACCAGAGAGAGACCAGAGAGAGAGACCAGAGAGAGACCAGAGAGAGAGACCAGAGAGAGAGACCAGAGAGAGACCAGAGAGAGACCAGAGAGAGACCAGAGAGAGACCAGAGAGAGACCAGAGAGAGACCAGAGAGAGAGAGACCAGAGAGAGAGAGACCAGAGAGAGACCAGAGAGAGAGGCCAGAGAGAGAGAGACCAGAGAGAGAGAGACCAGAGAGAGAGAGACCAGAGAGAGAGACCAGAGAGAGAGACCAGAGAGAGAGACCAGAGAGAGAAAACAGTAAGAGGGACCAGAGAGAGAGACCAGAGATAAACCAGAGACAAACCAGAGAGAGAGACCAGAGAGAAACCAGAGAGAGAGACCAGAGACAAACCAGAGAGAGACCAGAGAGAGAGACCAGAGAGAGAGTCCAGACAGAGAGTCCAGACAGAGAGTCCAGAGAGAGAGTCCAGAGAGAGAGACCAGAGAGAGAGACCAGAGAGAGAAACCAGAGAGAGAGACCAGAGAGAGAGACCAGAGAGAGGGACCAGAGAGAGAGACCAGAGAGAGAAACCAGAGAGAGAAACCAGAGAGAGAGACCAGAGAGAGAGACCAGAGAGAGGGACCAGAGAGAGAGACCAGAGAGAGAGACCAGAGAGAGAGACCAGAGAGAGAAACCAGAGAGAGAGACCAGAGAGCGAGCCCAGAGAGCGAGCCCAGAGAGAGAGACCAGAGAGAGGGACCAGAGAGAGAGACCAGAGAGAGAGACCAGAGAGAGAGACCAGAGAGAGAAACCAGAGAGAGACCAGAGAGAGAGACCAGAGAGAGAGACCAGAGAGAGAAACCAGAGAGAGAGACCAGAGAGAGAGACCAGAGATAAACCAGAGAGAGGTTATAGTTAGTTAGTTAGTATACAGTAGTTTTCAGTCCTGTTAAATGATTGTTCTAAAGGTTGTACATGATTGGTTGTTTTACTGGGTGTACATTTTTGATTGGATGCTTGGTTTCAGGGCGGTTATGCCGGGAGTGCGGTGGGATTCCGAATGACGTCGCTGCTGAAGCTAGTGGACACCAAAGCCAACAAACCAGGCATGAACCTCATGCATTACGTTGTCATGGTGAGTGGAAGAATACGGATTATTATTTATGGCTTATTATGTAGCCCAAAAGCCGGGTTAGCTTTACCCTAACCCGGGCCCAAAGCTCCGTTCCACATGTGTGTCAATGCTGAGGGGGGTAGATTTGGGTTGCTCCAGTAGAGCACATTTTCTGGCCCATTAGTTAGAACGGCGGAGATAGGCGTGACTCTGTCCGTTAATATATACAGTCTATGGTCTCCTCCTCTTTGTCTTTGCTGTAAATGTCCTCCTGCTGCACACGTTGATTACACTTCAAAGAAATAAGTGTTTGATTGTTTTAAAATGATCCTGATGCAGACAATGATCCAGGATCCTCTGCCTCATACCACAAATATACAGAAGTTTAGAGTCAGGGTCTGGTTCTGGTTCTGGGTCTGGGTTAGGGTCTAGGACTGGGTCTGGGTTTGAGTCAGGGTCTAGGACTGGGTCTGGGTTAGGGTCTAGGACTGGGTCTGGTTCTGGGTCAGGGTCTGGTTCTGGCTCGTGTTGACCCGTGTTCTCTCTCTGCAGCAGGCACAGAAGGTCGACCCAGCTCTGCTCACGTTCCCAGAGCAGCTGCAGCACATCCAGGAGGCAGCCAGGTACCGCACCATGCTCTTCCTCTACACCATGCTCTTCCTCTACACCATGCTCTTCCTCTTCACCATTGTCTTCCTCCTCACCATGCTCTTCCTCTTCACCATGCTCTTACTCTACACCATGCTCTTCCTCTACACCATGCTCTTCCTCTATACCATGGTCTTCCTCTACACCATGGGCTTACTCTTCATCATGGCCTTCCTCTACACCATGCTCTTCCTCTTCACCAGGCTCTTCCTCTACACCATGCTCTTCCTCTACACCATGCTCTTCCTCTATACCATGGTCTTCCTCTACACCATGGGCTTACTCTTCACCATGGCCTTCCTCTACACCATGCTCTTCCTCTTCACCATGCTCTTCCTCTACACCATGGTCTTCCTCTAGACCATGCTCTTCCTCTTCACCATGCTCTTCCTCTATACCATGCTCTTCCTCTACACCATGCTCTTCCTCTATACCATGCCCTTCCTCTACACCATGAGCTTCCTCTTCACCATGCTCTTCCTCTACACCATGCTCTTCCTCTTCACAATGCTCTTCCTCTTCACAATGCTCTTCCTCTACACCATGCTCTTCCTCTTCCCCATGCGCTTCCTCTACACCATGGTCTTCCTCTACACCATGGGCTTCCTCTACACCATGGTCTTTCTCTTCACCATGCTTGTCCTTTACACCATGGTCTTCCTCTACACCATGGTCTTCCTCCTCACCATGCTCTTCTTCTACACCATTGTCTTCCTCTTCACCATGGTCTTCCTCTGCACCATGGCCTTTCTCTACGCCATGCTCTTCCTCTTCACCATGCTCTTCCTCTACACCATGGTCTTCCTCGTCCCCATGCTCTTCCTCATCACCATGCTCTTCCTCGTCACCATGCTCTTCCTCTTCACCATTCTCGTCCTTTTCACCATGGTCTTCCTCTTCACCATGCTCTTCCTCTACACCATGCTCTTCCTCTACACCATGCTCTTCCTCTTCACCATGGTCTTCCTCTACACCATGGTCTTCCTCACACCATGGTCTTCCTCTTCACCATTCTCTTCCTTTTCACCTTGCGCTTCTTCTACACCATGGTCTTCCTCTTTACATGGTCTTCCTCTACACCATGGTCTTCCTCTACACCATGCTCTTCCTCTTCACCATGCTTTTCTTCTACACCATGCTCTTCCTCTTCACCATGGTCTTCCTCTATACCATGCTCTTCCTCTACACCATGCTCTTCTTCTTCACCATGCTCTTCCTCTTCACCATGCTCTTCCTCTTCACCATGCTCTTCCTCTTCACCATGATCTCCCTCTTCACCATGATCTCCCTCTTCACCATGGTCTTTCTCTATACCATGCTCTTCCTCTACACCATGCTCTTCTCCTTCACCATGGCCTTCCTCTTCACCATGCTCTTCCTCTACACCATGCTCTTCCTCTACACCATGCTCTTCCTCTTCACCATGATCTCCCTCTTCACCATGATCTTCCTTTACACCATGCTCTTCCTTTTCACCATGCTCTTCCTCTACACCATGCTCTTCCTCTATACCATGGTCTTCCTCTACACCATGGGCTTCCTCTTCACCATGGTCTTCCTCTACACCATGCTCTTCCTCTTCACAATGGTCTTCCTCTTTACCATGATCTCCCTCTTCACCATGCTCTTCCTCTACACCATGGTCTTCCTCTTCACCATGCTCTTCCTCTATACCAATGGTCTTCCTCTACACCATGGGCTTCCTCTTCACAATGCTCTTCCTCTACACCATGGTCTTCCTCTTCACCATGGTCCTCCTCTACACCATGCTCTTCCTCTTCACAATGCTCTTCCTCTACATCATGGTCTTCCTCTTTACCATGCTCTTCCTCTTCACCATGGTCTTCCTCTACACCATGGGCTTCCTCTACACCATGGTCTTTCTCTTCACCATGCACTTCCTCTACACCATGCTCTTCCTCTACACCATGGTCTTCCTCTTCACCATGCTCTTCCTCTACACCATGGGCTTCCTCTTCACCATGGGCTTCCTCTACCCATGGTCTTCCTCTTCACCATGCTCTTCCCCTACACCATGCTCTTCCTCTACACCATGGGCTTCCTCTTCACCATGCTCCTCCTCTTCACCATGCTCTTCCTCTACACCATGCTCTTCCTCTGCACCATGCTCTTCCTCTGCACCATGGCCTTTCCCTACACCATGCTCTTCCTCTTCACCATGCTCTTCCTCTACACCATGGTCTTCCTCGTCACCATGGTCTTCCTCGTCACCATGCTCTTCCTCTTCACCATGCTCTTCCTCGTCACCATGGTCTTCCTCTTCACCATGGTCTTCCTCGTCACCATGGTATTCCTCTACACCATGGTCTTTCTCGTCACCATGGTATTCCTCTACACCATGGTCTTCCTCGTCACCATGGTATTCCTCTACACCATGGTCTTCCTCGTCACCATGGTATTCCTCTACACCATGGTCTTTCTCGTCACCATGGTATTCCTCTACACCATGCTCTTCCTCGTCACCATGGTCTTCCTCTTCACCATGGTCTTCCTCGTCACCATGGTATTCCTCTACACCATGGTCTTCCTCGTCACCATGGTATTCCTCTACACCATGGTCTTTCTCGTCACCATGGTATTCCTCTACACCATGGTCTTCCTCGTCACCATGGTCTTCCTCGTCACCATGCTCTTCCTCGTCACCATGGTCTTCCTCGTCACCATGGTCTTCCTCTTCACCATGGTCTTCCTCGTCACCATGGTATTCCTCTACACCATGGTCTTCCTCGTCACCATGGTATTCCTCTACACCATGGTCTTCCTCGTCACCATGGTATTCCTCTACACCAGGGGTCGGGAACCCGCGGCTCCGGAGCCGCATGCGGCTCTTTCATCCTTATACTGCGGCTCTGAGTGGCTTGGGGGAAAAAACAAATAAAACAAAAAAACACGTGTTTAATTGAAGGGTATTTTATTTGTGTTAGTTCTTTTAATATTTTAGTTCTAAATAGGAAGATTATTGTGATCTTGACATAATAGAATAAATATATTTTATTGTTTTTTTGTCGCTCAAAAGAAACGATACCGGCGTTTTGGCGGTATACCCGCAAAAACGCCGTCCACCTGTGGCAACTTTCAACCCCAGCAAGGCCAAGTATGGAGAAATGTAAGAAAAGAAAAATATATGAAGAAAATAGAACATTCAATGATGCCTGGGCAGATTCATTTGCGTTTACCTCTGATGAGAGTGGCCTACCAGTATGCCTAATTTGCGGAGAAAAACTGTCTAACAACAAACGGTCAAATGTCGCAAGACATTTCAACAATACACACAGAGCCTTTGCTGAAAAATATTCAGAAGGAGAAGAGAGAAAGAAAGCGGTTTCGGAACTGATGCGGAAGGCTGATCTGACGAGAAATCACCTCAAGAAGTGGGTGAAGTCTGCAAATTCAATTACATATGCAAGTTTTGTGGCCGCTCAGGAAATAGTCAGGCATGGGAAACCGTTCACAGATGGAGATGATATAAAACAATCATTCCTTAATATTTCAGAACACCTATTCGCGGACTTTAAAAACAAGCATGAAATTGTGCAGAAAATCAGAGAGATGCCGCTCTCTGCGAGGACAGTCAAAGACAGAACCATAACAATGGCAGAAAATGTCACAAAACAGCAGAATAAAGACAAATATTTAGCTGCAGCGTACTCAATCGCCTGTGATGAGTCCAAAGACAAAAGTGACATTGAACAAATAGCGCTGTTCTGCCGATATGTGAACTCTGCTGGACCGCAGGAAGAAATGGTTGAGCTGATACCACTAAAAGGCCAGACACGGGGGGAGGACATCTGTGAGGCCGTGCTTGATGGTTTACGAGCCAAAGAAATAAAAACAACCCACCTAGTGTCAGTGGCTACTGATGGGGCACCGAGTATGACTGGAGCGCACAAGGGCTTTGTGGCCTTGCTGCAGAAGTCACTGGATAGACAGCTGCTCACTTTTCACTGCATCCTGCACCAAGAGGCACTGTGCGCGCAAACTTTTCCTCCAGAATGCACAGAGGTCATGAATCTTGTCATTTAGATTGTCAATAAATTAATGGCAAAAGGTTTAAATCACCGCCAGTTCCGTTCGCCACTGGATGAGGTGGACAGCACATACTCTGATCTCATGCTGCACAACCGAGTCCGGTGGCTGTCCAGAGGAGAGATGCTGAAACGTTTTGCTGCATGTCTGGGAGAGGTGAAGACTTTCATGAGTAGCAAAGGGCTCATCTTTCCTGAGCTGGAACAGCCAGAGTGGCTGGAAAAGCTGCACTTCATGGTGGACATGACAGCGAACCTGAACACGCTGAACACAACGCTTCAGGGGAGAGGAGGCACAGCGCTACACATGCTGGAGGAGGTGTTAGCGTTTGAGCGCAAACTGACAGTTTTAGCCAGAGATTTACAGAGAGGCACACTGTCTCACTTCCCCTCTTTAAGGGAGTTCAAACAAGGTCACAAGCTGATCAATTCAGAGTATTTGCAGTCTGCAATCACCACAATGCAAGCATCGTTTGGGAAACGATTCCGTGAGTTCCGAGAGGAAAAAAACACAATGTCCTTCCCCGTCACTCCCTTGAACATCGATCCATCCCTGCTAAATGTGACTGCATTTGCAGGTGTAAGTCAACCTGATCTGGAGCTGAAGCTGGCTGACATAGCTGACAAAGACATGTGGGTGTCCAAATTCAAACGCTTGACAGAGGACCTTGAAGATGTTGCCCGTCAGAAGGCCACTCTTGCTCAGAATCACAAATGGAGTGATATTGAGAACCTTCCAAGACCGGACAAACTCGTGTTTGAAACATGGAATGCCATCCCCGACACCTACAGTACATGAACATGAAGACATGTGCCTGTGGAGTCCTGTCGATCTTTGGATCCACATATGTATGTGAGCAGCTATTCTCCACCATGAACTACACTAAAAACAAACACCGCTCACGCCTCACAGATGAAAGCTTACAGTCCTGCGTAAAGATGAGAGTGACTTCGTACAGCCCCGATTTGCAGACGCTGTGCGCAGAGGTTCAGGAGCAGAAGTCCCATTAACCAGGTAAAATAAATATTTATGCAGATACTTTGCAAATATTTATTTTTCATGACACAGTGCCTTTCCCCCCCAATTTATTTTCTAAATTCAGGTCAAGGCTCCGCTACTTGCTCTGAAGGCCCAAAGGCGATATAAGGATGACGGTTCACGGCATTTTTTTCCTTTTGTTTGTTTGTTAAGTTCAGCTTTTTAATTTAATTGAAAAATACATTCAATTATTTTCAAGAATTCAAAATGTTCAAAATGAGTTCATAACATAGATACAATTTAATTTTCTCTGTCCCACTTCGTGGATTTAATAAGCAACACTCTTTAGTTATTTATACAAAGTGTAAAGGTAAGAAAAAGCATTATATACAGTGTTTTCTTCATTTTAGATAAGATAATAGCCCATCTTCAAAATAAATAAATTCATTTTCAATGACAAAAAGTATTTGCAGCTCCCAGTGTTTTCTTTTCCGTGGAAACTGGATCAAATGGCTCTTTCGGTGTTAAAGGTTCCCGACCCCTGCCCGCTTGTCTTCCTCTTCACCATGGTCTTCCTCGTCACCATGGTCTTCCTCTTCACCATTGTCTTCCTCTTCACCATGGTCTTCCTCGTCACCATGGTCTTCCTCGTCACCATGGTCTTCCTCTTCACCATTGTCTTCCTCTTCACCATGGTCTTCCTCGTCACCATGGTCTTCCTCGTCACCATGGTCTTCCTCGTCACCATGGTCTTCCTCTTCACCATTGTCTTCCTCTTCACCATGGTCTTCCTCGTCACCATGCTCTTCCTCTGCAGGATCCACAGAGCAGATGTAGAAGCAGAGTTCAGTCGCCAGCGCAGACGAGTGCAAAAAGCCAGAGATGATTGGACCAAACAGGACGATCTGAAGCAGCAGATGGACGACTTTCTCCAGGTCACAGTCGTTAGCCCCGTTTCCACTCTGCCCTGCCCTGCTCTGTTGGTCTCATGTGTTAGTGTTGGTCTCATGTGTTAGTGTTGGTTCATGTGTTAGTGTTGGTCTCATGTGTTAGTGTTGGTCTCATGTGTTAGTGTTGGTTCATGTGTTAGTGTTGGTTCATGTGTTAGTGTTGGTCTCATGTGTTAGTGTTGGTTCATGTGTTAGTGTTGGTCTCATGTGTTAGTGTTGGTTCATGTGTTAGTGTTGGTTCATGTGTTAGTGTTGGTTCATGTGTTAGTGTTGGTTCATGTGTTAGTGTTGGTCTCATGTGTTAGTGTTGGTTCATGTGTTAGTGTTGGTCTCATGTGTTAGTGTTGGTCTCATGTGTTAGTGTTGGTTCATGTGTTAGTGTTGGTTCATGTGTTAGTGTTGGTCTCATGTGTTAGTGTTGGTTCATGTGTTAGTGTTGGTTCATGTGTTAGTGTTGGTTCATGTGTTAGTGTTGGTCTCATGTGTTAGTGTTGGTTCATGTGTTAGTGTTGGTTCATGTGTTAATGTTGGTCTCATGTGTTAGTGTTGGTTCATGTGTTAGTGTTGGTTCATGTGTTAGTGTTGGTCTCATGTGTTAGTGTTGGTCTCATGTGTTAGTGTTGGTCTCATGTGTTAGTGTTGGTTCAGTGTTGGTTAGTGTTGGTCTCATGTGTTAGTGTTGGTCTCATGTGTTAGTGTTGGTTCATGTATTAGTGTTGGTTCATGTGTTAGTGTTGGTTCATGTGTTAGTGTTGGTTCATGTGTTAGTGTTGGTCTCATGTGTTAGTGTTGGTTCATGTGTTAGTGTTGGTTCATGTGTTAATGTTGGTCTCATGTGTTAGTGTTGGTTCATGTGTTAGTGTTGGTTCATGTGTTAGTGTTGGTCTCATGTGTTAGTGTTGGTCTCATGTGTTAGTGTTGGTCTCATGTGTTAGTGTGTTGTTTCATGTGTTAGTGTTGGTCTCATGTGTTAGTGTTGGTCTCATGTGTTAGTGTTAGTTCATGTATTAGTGTTGGTTCATGTGTTAGTGTTGGTTCATGTGTTAGTGTTGGTCTCATGTGTTAGTGTTGGTTCATGTGTTAGTGTTGGTTCATGTATTAGTGTTGGTTCATGTATTAGTGTTGGTTCATGTGTTAGTGTTGGTCTCATGTGTTAGTGTTGGTCTCATGTGTTAGTGTTGGTTCATGTGTTAGTGTTGGTTCATGTGTTAGTGTTGGTTCATGTGTTAGTGTTGGTCTCATGTGTTAGTGTTGGTCTCATGTGTTAGTGTTGGTTCATGTGTTAATGTTGGTTCATGTGTTAGTGTTGGTTCATGTGTTAGTGTTGGTTCATGTGTTAGTGTTGGTCTCATGTGTTAGTGTTGGTTCATGTGTTAGTGTTGGTTCATGTGTTAGTGTTGGTTCATGTGTTAATGTTGGTCTCATGTGTTAGTGTTGGTTCATGTGTTAGTGTTGGTTCATGTGTTAGTGTTGGTCTCATGTGTTAGTGTTGGTCTCATGTGTTAGTGTTGGTCTCATGTGTTAGTGTTGGTTCATGTGTTAGTGTTGGTCTCATGTGTTAGTGTTGGTCTCATGTGTTAGTGTTAGTTCATGTATTAGTGTTGGTTCATGTGTTAGTGTTGGTTCATGTGTTAGTGTTGGTCTCATGTGTTAGTGTTGGTTCATGTGTTAGTGTTGGTTCATGTATTAGTGTTGGTTCATGTATTAGTGTTGGTTCATGTGTTAGTGTTGGTCTCATGTGTTAGTGTTGGTCTCATGTGTTAGTGTTGGTTCATGTGTTAGTGTTGGTTCATGTGTTAGTGTTGGTTCATGTGTTAGTGTTGGTCTCATGTGTTAGTGTTGGTCTCATGTGTTAGTGTTGGTTCATGTGTTAATGTTGGTTCATGTGTTAGTGTTGGTTCATGTGTTAGTGTTGGTTCATGTGTTAGTGTTGGTTCATGTGTTAGTGTTGGTTCATGTGTTAGTGTTGGTCTCATGTGTTAGTGTTGGTTCATGTGTTAGTGTTGGTTCATGTGTTAGTGTTGGTTCATGTGTTAGTGTTGGTCTCATGTGTTAGTGTTGGTCTCATGTGTTAATGTTGGTTCATGTGTTAATGTTGGTTCATGTGTTAGTGTTGGTCTCATGTGTTAGTGTTGGTTCATGTGTTAGTGTTGGTCTCATGTGTTAGTGTTGGTTCATGTGTTAGTGTTGGTTCATGTGTTAGTGTTGGTTCATGTGTTAGTGTTGGTCTCATGTGTTAGTTGGTCTCATGTGTTAGTGTTGGTTCATGTATTAGTGTTGGTTCATGTGTTAGTGTTGGTCTCATGTGTTAGTGTTGGTCTCATGTGTTAGTGTTGGTCTCATGTGTTAGTGTTGGTTCATGTGTTAGTGTTGGTCTCATGTGTTAGTGTTGGTCTCATGTGTTAGTGTTGGTCTCATGTGTTAGTGTTGGTCTCATGTGTTAGTGTTGGTCTCATGTGTTAGTGTTGGTCTCATGTGTTAGTGTTGGTCTCATGTGTTAGTGTTGGTCTCATGTGTTAGTGTTGGTCTCATGTGTTAGTGTTAGTTCATGTGTTAGTGTTGGTCTCATGTGTTAGTGTTGGTTCATGTGTTAGTGTTGGTCTCATGTGTTAGTGTTGGTTCATGTATTAGTGTTGGTTCATGTGTTAGTGTTGGTCTCATGTGTTAGTGTTGGTCTCATGTGTTAGTGTTGGTCTCATGTGTTAGTGTTGGTTCATGTGTTAGTGTTGGTTCATGTATTAGTGTTGGTTCATGTATTAGTGTTGGTCTCATGTGTTAGTGTTGGTCTCATGTGTTAGTGTTGGTCTCATGTGTTAGTGTTGGTCTCATGTGTTAGTGTTGGTTCATGTGTTAGTGTTGGTCTCATGTGTTAGTGTTGGTCTCATGTGTTAGTGTTGGTCTCATGTGTTTGTGTTGGTCTCATGTGTTAGTGTTGGTCTCATGTGTTGGTCTCATGTGTTAGTCTCATGTGTGAGTCTCATGTGTTAGTCTCATGTGTGAGTCTCATGTGTTAGTCTCATGTGTGAGTCTCATGTGTTAGTCTCATGTGGTAGTGTTAGTCTCATGTGTTAGTCTCATGTGTGAGTCTCATGTGTGAGTCTCATGTGTTAGTCTGTGTGTTCATGTGTTAGTCGGTGTGTTCGTGTGTTAGTGTTGTTCATGTGTTAGTCTGTGTGTTAGTCTCATGTGTGAGTCTCATGTGTTAGTGTCATGTGTTGGTCTCATGTGTTAGTCTCATGTGTTAGTCTCATGTGTGAGTCTCATGATTTAGTCTCATGTGGTAGTGTTGGTCTCATGTGTGAGTCTCATGTGTTAGTGTCATGTGTGAGTCTCATGTGTTAGTGTCATGTGTTAGTCTCATGTGTTAGTCTCATGTGTTAGTCTCATGTGTGAGTCTCATGATTTAGTCTCATGTGGTAGTGTTGGTCTCATGTAGAGCCCTGCACGGGCCTATTATCTGGGCCCGAGCCCGGCCCTGACCCGAGGGGGTGGCGCCCCAGCCCGGCCCGGCCCGATATGGTTTCTGAAGTTTCAGGCCCGAAACCCGCATCAAGCCCGACTTTTTTTTTTTTTTTTAACATCCCATAACAATGTTTTAGCGTAGTCTATAGTGCCGCGCACTGATATGAACGCAGACTTAGCTAGAGGGCGGAGTTATACATGGTACTGATGTGTTGCAATGAGTTCTGTGTGTGCGGAGTGAACGGCCGCATCTGTATGATACACAGCTGTATGATACACAGCTGTATGATACACAGATGTATGATACACAGCTGTATGATGCACAGCTGTATGATGCACAGCTGTATGATACACAGCTGTATGATACACAGCTGTATGATACACAGATGTATGATACACAGCTGTATGATGCACAGCTGTATGATGCACAGCTGTATGATACACAGCTGTATGATGCACAGCTGTATGATACACAGCTGTATGATGCACAGCTGTATGATACACAGCTGTATGATGCACAGCTGTATGATACACAGCTGTATGATACACAGCTGTATGATGCACAGCTGTATGATACACAGCTGTATGATGCACAGCTGTATGATACACAGCTGTATGATACACAGCTGTATGATACACAGCTGTATGATGCACAGCTGTATGATGCACAGCTGTATGATACACAGCTGTATGATGCACAGCTGTATGATACACAGCTGTATGATACACAGCTGTATGATGCACAGCTGTATGATACACAGCTGTATGATACACAGCTGTATGATGCACAGCTGTATGATACACAGCTGTATGATACACAGCTGTATGATACACAGCTGTATGATACACAGCTGTATGATGCACAGCTGTATGATGCCCAGATGCTGCAACACACCTGTAAGTAACGCTATGTGTCGTCAATGACAACACTACACAGAACAACAAACACTACAGCGTGATAGAACGCTATATTCAGTGGGTGCGTTCGTAAATCTATTCTGCCGCTCTGAAAATGAAGAGCCCGAGCCCGGCCCGTGTCCGAGGTCATTATGCGGTCATCGGCCCGAAGCCCGGCCCTCGGGCTGTCGGGCCGTCGGGGCCCTCGGGCCAAGGGCTCAAGTGCAGGGCTCTAGTCTCATGTGTTAGTCTGTGTGTTCATGTGTTAGTCTGTGTGTTCAGGAGGTGGAGCTGAGTGTTCAGGACGTGGACACAGACCTACAGACTCTCTCCTCAGTCTCAGACCATGGATCTATAATAATAACTGGATAGAGTATTACTATCTTACAGCTGTCCCACCCATGGGCACAGGGGGCGCTGTGGTACTGCAGACTAAATTCACGTGGGCTACCCAGAAAAAAGTCCCATAGAACTCAATGTAAACTTAAATAGCTCGACCTCAGCTGACAGAGAACCTACAGCTTTCATAAAGATCAGAGTTTGTGGGGATTTTAGTGTCCCTTGTCGTCCTGAACTTTTTTTCTTCTTAAATCCTTCGGTTTTCTTTAAATCCACACTTTACTGCCACAAACTCTGCTCCCTACCTTCCTGCTCTGGCCCCACTCTTCCGCTGCTCTAAAAAGCACCTCTGATTGGTCAGAGCGTGGCCAAGCCCCTCTGTGCACGTCATGAAAGCCACACACGCACGTATGGCGCACGACGCATGATGGGATATATCTCCCATCATGCGTCCCATAGCTAATCCACTGCACAGAACCAGGAGGACCAAACGATGCCCAAATATGGGTGAGTTCTGCTAATCTCCCGGTCTCCATGAAGTCCCATGTGCTACTGAGAACAAGCCATTTATTTGAATAGGGGCGCCATCTTGGATCACCGGGGCTTGTCTCAGACTCTGTGGTTCATGTGTTAGAGTTGTTCATGTGTTAGTGTTGTTCATGTGTTAGTGTTGTTCATGTGTTAGTGTTGTTCATGTGTTAGTGTTGTTCATGTGTTAGTGTGGTTCATGTGTTAGTGTTGTCCATGTGTTAGTGTTGTTCATGTGTTAGTCTGTGTGTTCATGTGGTTCATGTGTTAGTATTGTTCATGTGTTAGTCTGTGTGTTCATGTGTTAGTTTTGTTCATGTGTTAGTGTTGTTCATGTGTTAGTCTGTGTGTTCATGTGTTTGTCTGTGTGTTCATGTGTTAGTGTGGTTCATGTGTTAGTATTGTTTATGTGTTAGTCTGTGTGTTCATGTGTTAGTATGTGTGTTCATGTGTTAGTTTTGTTCATGTGTTAGTGTTGTTCATGTGTTAGTATGTGTGTTCATGTGTTAGTGTTGTTCATGTGTTAGTGTTGGTCTCATGTGTTAGTGTTGGTTCATGTGTTAGTGTTGGTCTCATGTGTTAGTGTTGGTCTCATGTGTTAGTGTTGGTTCATGTGTTAGTGTTGGTCTCATGTGTTAGTGTTGGTCTCATGTGTTAGTGTTGGTTCATGTGTTAGTGTTGGTTCATGTGTTAGTGTTGGTCTCATGTGTTAGTGTTGGTTCATGTGTTAGTGTTGGTTCATGTGTTAGTGTTGGTTCATGTGTTAGTGTTGGTCTCATGTGTTAGTGTTGGTTCATGTGTTAGTGTTGGTTCATGTGTTAATGTTGGTCTCATGTGTTAGTGTTGGTTCATGTGTTAGTGTTGGTTCATGTGTTAGTGTTGGTCTCATGTGTTAGTGTTGGTCTCATGTGTTAGTGTTGGTCTCATGTGTTAGTGTTGGTTCATGTGTTAGTGTTGGTCTCATGTGTTAGTGTTGGTCTCATGTGTTAGTGTTGGTTCATGTATTAGTGTTGGTTCATGTGTTAGTGTTGGTTCATGTGTTAGTGTTGGTTCATGTGTTAGTGTTGGTCTCATGTGTTAGTGTTGGTTCATGTGTTAGTGTTGGTTCATGTGTTAATGTTGGTCTCATGTGTTAGTGTTGGTTCATGTGTTAGTGTTGGTTCATGTGTTAGTGTTGGTCTCATGTGTTAGTGTTGGTCTCATGTGTTAGTGTTGGTCTCATGTGTTAGTGTTGGTTCATGTGTTAGTGTTGGTCTCATGTGTTAGTGTTGGTCTCATGTGTTAGTGTTAGTTCATGTATTAGTGTTGGTTCATGTGTTAGTGTTGGTTCATGTGTTAGTGTTGGTCTCATGTGTTAGTGTTGGTTCATGTGTTAGTGTTGGTTCATGTATTAGTGTTGGTTCATGTATTAGTGTTGGTTCATGTGTTAGTGTTGGTCTCATGTGTTAGTGTTGGTCTCATGTGTTAGTGTTGGTTCATGTGTTAGTGTTGGTTCATGTGTTAGTGTTGGTTCATGTGTTAGTGTTGGTCTCATGTGTTAGTGTTGGTCTCATGTGTTAGTGTTGGTTCATGTGTTAATGTTGGTTCATGTGTTAGTGTTGGTTCATGTGTTAGTGTTGGTTCATGTGTTAGTGTTGGTCTCATGTGTTAGTGTTGGTTCATGTGTTAGTGTTGGTTCATGTGTTAGTGTTGGTTCATGTGTTAATGTTGGTCTCATGTGTTAGTGTTGGTTCATGTGTTAGTGTTGGTTCATGTGTTAGTGTTGGTCTCATGTGTTAGTGTTGGTCTCATGTGTTAGTGTTGGTCTCATGTGTTAGTGTTGGTTCATGTGTTAGTGTTGGTCTCATGTGTTAGTGTTGGTCTCATGTGTTAGTGTTAGTTCATGTATTAGTGTTGGTTCATGTGTTAGTGTTGGTTCATGTGTTAGTGTTGGTCTCATGTGTTAGTGTTGGTTCATGTGTTAGTGTTGGTTCATGTATTAGTGTTGGTTCATGTATTAGTGTTGGTTCATGTGTTAGTGTTGGTCTCATGTGTTAGTGTTGGTCTCATGTGTTAGTGTTGGTTCATGTGTTAGTGTTGGTTCATGTGTTAGTGTTGGTTCATGTGTTAGTGTTGGTCTCATGTGTTAGTGTTGGTCTCATGTGTTAGTGTTGGTTCATGTGTTAATGTTGGTTCATGTGTTAGTGTTGGTTCATGTGTTAGTGTTGGTTCATGTGTTAGTGTTGGTTCATGTGTTAGTGTTGGTTCATGTGTTAGTGTTGGTCTCATGTGTTAGTGTTGGTTCATGTGTTAGTGTTGGTTCATGTGTTAGTGTTGGTTCATGTGTTAGTGTTGGTCTCATGTGTTAGTGTTGGTCTCATGTGTTAATGTTGGTTCATGTGTTAATGTTGGTTCATGTGTTAGTGTTGGTCTCATGTGTTAGTGTTGGTTCATGTGTTAGTGTTGGTCTCATGTGTTAGTGTTGGTTCATGTGTTAGTGTTGGTTCATGTGTTAGTGTTGGTTCATGTGTTAGTGTTGGTCTCATGTGTTAGTGTTGGTTCATGTATTAGTGTTGGTTCATGTGTTAGTGTTGGTCTCATGTGTTAGTGTTGGTCTCATGTGTTAGTGTTGGTCTCATGTGTTAGTGTTGGTTCATGTGTTAGTGTTGGTCTCATGTGTTAGTGTTGGTCTCATGTGTTAGTGTTGGTCTCATGTGTTAGTGTTGGTCTCATGTGTTAGTGTTGGTCTCATGTGTTAGTGTTGGTCTCATGTGTTAGTGTTGGTCTCATGTGTTAGTGTTGGTCTCATGTGTTAGTGTTGGTCTCATGTGTTAGTGTTAGTTCATGTGTTAGTGTTGGTCTCATGTGTTAGTGTTGGTTCATGTGTTAGTGTTGGTCTCATGTGTTAGTGTTGGTTCATGTATTAGTGTTGGTTCATGTGTTAGTGTTGGTCTCATGTGTTAGTGTTGGTCTCATGTGTTAGTGTTGGTCTCATGTGTTAGTGTTGGTTCAGTGTTAGTTGGTTCATGTGTTAGTGTTGGTTCATGTATTAGTGTTGGTTCATGTATTAGTGTTGGTCTCATGTGTTAGTGTTGGTCTCATGTGTTAGTGTTGGTCTCATGTGTTAGTGTTGGTCTCATGTGTTAGTGTTGGTTCATGTGTTAGTGTTGGTCTCATGTGTTAGTGTTGGTCTCATGTGTTAGTGTTGGTCTCTCATGTGTTTGTGTTGGTCTCATGTGTTAGTGTTGGTCTCATGTGTTGGTCTCATGTGTTAGTCTCATGTGTGAGTCTCATGTGTTAGTCTCATGTGTGAGTCTCATGTGTTAGTCTCATGTGTGAGTCTCATGTGTTAGTCTCATGTGGTAGTGTTAGTCTCATGTGTTAGTCTCATGTGTGAGTCTCATGTGTGAGTCTCATGTGTTAGTCTGTGTGTTCATGTGTTAGTCGGTGTGTTCGTGTGTTAGTGTTGTTCATGTGTTAGTCTGTGTGTTAGTCTCATGTGTGAGTCTCATGTGTTAGTGTCATGTGTTGGTCTCATGTGTTAGTCTCATGTGTTAGTCTCATGTGTGAGTCTCATGATTTAGTCTCATGTGGTAGTGTTGGTCTCATGTGTGAGTCTCATGTGTTAGTGTCATGTGTGAGTCTCATGTGTTAGTGTCATGTGTTAGTCTCATGTGTTAGTCTCATGTGTTAGTCTCATGTGTGAGTCTCATGATTTAGTCTCATGTGGTAGTGTTGGTCTCATGTAGAGCCCTGCACGGGCCTATTATCTGGGCCCGAGCCCGGCCCTGACCCGAGGGGGTGGCGCCCCAGCCCGGCCCGGCCCGATATGGTTTCTGAAGTTTCAGGCCCGAAACCCGCATCAAGCCCGACTTTTTTTTTTTTTTTAACATCCCATAACAATGTTTTAGCGTAGTCTATAGTGCCGCGCACTGATATGAACGCAGACTTAGCTAGAGGGCGGAGTTATACATGGTACTGATGTGTTGCAATGAGTTCTGTGTGTGCGGAGTGAACGGCCGCATCTGTATGATACACAGCTGTATGATACACAGCTGTATGATACACAGATGTATGATACACAGCTGTATGATGCACAGCTGTATGATGCACAGCTGTATGATACACAGCTGTATGATACACAGCTGTATGATACACAGATGTATGATACACAGCTGTATGATGCACAGCTGTATGATGCACAGCTGTATGATACACAGCTGTATGATGCACAGCTGTATGATACACAGCTGTATGATGCACAGCTGTATGATACACAGCTGTATGATGCACAGCTGTATGATACACAGCTGTATGATACACAGCTGTATGATGCACAGCTGTATGATACACAGCTGTATGATGCACAGCTGTATGATACACAGCTGTATGATACACAGCTGTATGATACACAGCTGTATGATGCACAGCTGTATGATGCACAGCTGTATGATACACAGCTGTATGATGCACAGCTGTATGATACACAGCTGTATGATACACAGCTGTATGATGCACAGCTGTAT